TGGAAGTAAGGAACATTCCTTCACGTCCGGGGTGGATCCTTTAGCCTCCATATAAACCTCATTTCCCTCACTCTCGGTCCGGGTCTTAGTTCCAGTTTCTACTCCTCGCCCCGTCCTGCTCTCGACTCCAGTTGGTCCTACACGTCGGTCTTCAACTCGACTCTTCACGTCGACACTCTCATCAGCTGGACCTCCTGGGGCATTGGCAGAAATCAACGCCTCTCATCAACCTGTAGTTAGGCTGGCATATCCGTTACTTTAATTGCGGTATTCTGTCCTTTTTACATCCAATAAACGCTTCCCTGTGTACCTCGCGCCACAACGATCACCACATCAATCCTACATTTACTCTACTACTACGCGATACGTTAGTTGAAATAACGGTCTTGTAAACCACATCTCGGAGCGTAAAGTTGCATAAACTACAGTAGGAATTAAACAGTTCTAAGCAAAATAATACCTTTATAAATTTGCCTTTAAGAGCTGAAGAGAAGAGACGCATGGTATTTAAACGAAGTGCATAGGCAAAGGCTTCATTTCGCAGAACGGCGTCGATTAAGGGAAAGCAAATATTGAACTTGATAAGATTCATCGTTTCCTCGTCATCATCGAACTCCGTCTCCTCCTCACTCAGCTCTTCGTCATCCAGTAACACTGGCGACAATATGCATCTTGCTGTAATTGCTTTATTGAACTTCATATTTTCATAAAAGTTCAGGAATCACAATCGTGTCGAATAGTTAATCGAAAAACTCGATGTTCTAAAGTTTTTGAGATACAAATCTAGTCATAAAATCTCAGAAATTTGGCCATATTCACTTCTGTGAATGGGGAAATAACCGAATATAATGTGAGTGAATGGAATATGCCAATCGTAATGATTACACGATCGAAAAGCTATTGACAATTCTCCCTTCCAAGGATTATTAAGCAAATAGGATAAAAATGCAATTTTACTCTTAAGTAACAATGTGCTGTAAAAGCGAAACGTAGAAAATGCGAGATGAGCAGAACAAATCCAAAAAAATTGCCGTCTGTGCTACCTACATATTTGTAATATATCCATTTATCTAGCAAAATAGCAAATAACCTTCCTTGTACTTTAATCCTGTAAACGGCACTATTTCAGTAATCCAATTCTGAGCAACGAAAGAAAAAGCAGAAAAACTGAGGCCAAGACAACGGTTGAAAACTAGATGAAGCCGATTCAGCTACAACCACAAAATGCACTGGGAACAGCGGCTGTAGCCCAAGTGACAGCGCCTTCCAGTGGTGAAAATCTGGTTATAAAACTGTTGTCGATTATTCCCTCAACCCATTTCTTCGAAAAAGATTTGAGTTGCTGGGATGCTTCACGTAGTAAAAATTTCCAAATCTAGTGGAATTACAGCAGCCATCTTTCAGTAAACGCTTTGAGAAACTTACCACCAAGTAGGGCAACAGTCCTTTCAAGCTGAGTAGCAAGCGATTCCTCACTCCACGCAGCATCTGTATAAGCTGAGTTTAACACACGCACCGAGCAGTGCAAGATTAGCTCATCTGAAAAATACTGGGCATTAATTTTTAAAATGCAAGCGGCAAAGTGCAGCCCTTAGCCTGTGGTGTAAGATCGAAGCTCTGTACTAACAGTCAGGATGAAACCAAATTTTGTTCGTAGCCCATTCCACAACCACGTAAAAATATGCTAAAACCAGCCTCCATCGCAATAAACCACGCACAGCCAGCAAATTCGAAACAAAAGTGCACGTACGCACCGCTTGTAGTATCACTTCACGCCAGCTAGCCGGTGTCAAATGCATATAGCAATTATCCGATTACATTTAATCCTTTTTCATAAAAATACTTACAGATAGTAGCCACCCTAAACTTATATCACTTAATGGACCGAAATGTCTTGTCTCGCTCTTACCTTCTTTTCTCATACTGTCCTTTCATGCCGTAATTTATCGCTCCTACGCCACTTAAGCCTCCAAGGTCAGCCTGATTGCTACAATCGTTTTATAGTACTTGAGAAAGTACTTGTAAATGGGGTCAAAAAAAACATAATTTTTCGAAATTTCACTTGAACCTCTCATACAATCGTTCATCGAAATTTCAAGCTCAGAAGAGTAGTGGAAACGGCCGACTTACGTAAGTAGTCTTCACAGGGCTGGAAAGCTGCATCACGAAATGCGCGGAAGGCACGATGAGCAAGTGAGGAGACAAGCGGTGATCTGAGAAGTGGTACTACCACACCGATCATCAACTGGACATGTTTTGCCGAGCCCAGTGGATCGCCTTCGATGGCAAATGTGAGCGGCTCGATGCGCTCTTTGCATTTCGCATACAGATCACGCATTTCATCACGAATTTTCTGAAATATTTCTCATTCAAAAATTTATCGTAGCGTATCTCCCTCCCCCCTTTGGTCGATATGGTTCTAGCCTACAAATTCCAGTGTTCGCAATGAAGTAGTGTTTTTCAACATACCAATTATGTCTTGAAACGGCTAGAGCTTTGCCAAATGCTTTTGCTTGAAGAATCGTTTGAGTTGGTAATCCTTTCAGGTGATGAAATGAACTTCAGGAATGCCAGGACGCTAACTATGGGTCAATGCATAATTTGTCAAAGTGACTGGAAAATTGCCAGTTGCACAGTTGGAGAGAATCAGACCATAAATTACAGTCATTTGTGTTTTTGAGTCTTGCACAAATTAGCGGACTAAAAGAAATACACTGCAAGGAATATAAATTGGGACAAAAAATGGTCTGGCAAAGTTGTACTTAGCATGGCAGTAATATCGGATCACCACATTTACTGCTAGTTACGATCCCGAGAATTCCTGGTTTGACGCCAAAAATGCCAAGATTGAATAGTAGATGTGCTGCCAGGTTAATCATGCGGTACAAGGGCGATTGGTGATAATTATCGATATTACGATGCATTTGGATGTGAAGTGGAGTGGTTCTTGTCTCTCCCGATCTGTATCACTTTTTAAAAGAAACAAATCTGTTTTAATATTAGCGAAAAAACAGACCTTTTCAACGAGCAGCTCTTCCTTTTTCGCTTTCTCTTGTTGCGGCGTCAGTTTCCCCTCTTGACGTCGCTTTTCGGCCAGCTCTTTTTTCAGCTGCGCTTCAAATATTTGATCCTTGTACTTATAGGCCTAAAACACACACACTGCAGTTTCATTGTTACAGCAAAAATCACTGTATGAAAAAGCATCCATAATACATGAAAATTTTTACGTAGTAATACTTTTCACGTAATTTTTAATGCGGCAGCGCAAAAATTCGATGACAGAGTTCAGCCACATTAGAAGAGTAGATACGATGCCGCAACTAGTAAATGGGAAATGACTAAGAAGAAAATTTTGATTTTGTTATCAGTTGAGGTTCGCGAAAATGATTTTGCAATTCTACTGTATTGCCAACTTTTTATGTAAAACTTGGAATACCACGCTTAAAGAGAAAAAAATAAATAGCAACCCGCACTAAACCAGCCGGTGCGATCATGCATTTTGTGCAATTCAGCCCATCGAACGACTGCCTATTAATGATTTTCACTGCTTTGTATTTTTGTCTATGCAAAAATAGTTAAAAATTTCGCGCACCAGCGCATGAAAACTGAATTCGAAACCTTGAAGCGTGAATCTTTATCCCGAGTTAACAGTTTACCCGCCAAAATTTTCACGAGGCCGTAGGTAATACTCAAGAGCGCGGGAAGGCTGATTTTGAATGGGCAAGGTTGGGCGTGAGCAGGGGGTCATTATCCTAAAATTTCAGCTTCCTAGACTCCGTGGTTCCTGAGATATTGATTTACCAGTAGAAAATTTTTACGGGTCCGTACGAGTTACCCGCGGGTACGGGGAGGCTGAATTTAAATTTACTGCGTCACCCGTTGGCGAGGAACACTATACCAGAATTTCAGCCGCCTAGCTTTTGTGGTTCCCGAGTTGAAA